AACAGTGGTGGTCAGAGGGTCTTGAATGTGTCTGCCATTGTACAGTACCTCTTCCTCCAACGTACATCAAGTGCACATCCCACCCTGCCTGTTGCTGGGTGTCTGATAGAAAACATCTACAACAAAAGCATGGCTCAAGTAGGCTAAAAAGAATATTTAGTTTGGGCTGTATCTTTTTGTGCCTGGGTCCCCAGGTCTCAGTCCTACCCAATGCTGATCACCCTGACCCCGCTGCCCTGTTGTCTGCCCCAGCTTCGATGGGAATGGACCGCAGACACAGAATCCCTCTCAGATTTTGAACACTGCTCCTACAAAAACTCCCTCCCGAGGTTTGTCTTACAGCTCACTAGCCAGGCCCGAGCCTGTACAATTTGACTGAGTAGCTCTGATCGCCGGGTGGCCGTTTACAAGAGGTTTGTTTCTCTTCCTCAGGGCTGGGCAAGAAGAAATGCTAAGAGCGTTGCTCCCACCGGGACGAGAATCGGCGGCTGGCCACGGGGACGGGGTACCACACCGGGCAGCAGCGCGGAGGTGAGCCGGTGGCCGGCACTCACCTCCTGGTAGGAGTTTCGCTCCTCGGCTGCGGCTGCTTCCCGAGATGAAAAGGGCGGCTTTGCACGGTGGATTTATTGCACATTCCTGGTCACACGAGGGAGACTGTGTCCAGGTAGCTGCCTCTCTTGCTCTCCCTTTAATCACTGCAGGGTGGGAACCGGATCCAGCCTGGAGGGATAAAAGATCTCCGAGATGAAGAAGTACAATGGAGCAGCGTTAATGTCAACCGGTTTATTGTTGTAAGCAAATCACTACCACATCTCTCTGTGCAGCATGTTACAATTTACCACTCATAGTTAAATGAGTCAGAGCTGTTGCTTCTGGTTCTGCCTCCAGCTTCTCCTGACGCAGAGCTGGACAGACAATGGGTCCGTGTTGCAGAGGGGCCTCGGGCTAGCCCCAAGGAGCTGTGTGTTGCAATGCCCATTATCGCAATGCCTCATTTTTAGGCTCCCTGCTGTGGAACAGATTGCTCAGGCCAAGGACAGACATCACTGTGCTTCACACAAGGTGTGGAGAGAGTTAAAAGCTAATGAAAGGAAATTTCAGGAATCCACATACTTGCATTACAATACATATATATTCTAATAAATATATATATATATATATATATATATATATATATATAGTGAGACCCAGAACTGTGACAGGCAGGAAGAAGGTTTCTCTTTCTGCCACAAACTCCCTCGCAGTTAAGTGCCTAAGCTGTATCAGCCTACTTTTGTGGAAAAGTAGGGAAGGAGAGAATCACCTCACAGCATCCAACAGCTCACTGGGTACAGTATACTGTATCCCAAGCAGTGGGAGACTTACTTGCCACTCTGCTGGATTTCATTTGAACGGCCCTATGCCTCTGAGGAGCGTCCTGGCCATAAGGCTATTTAAGCAGCTGCTTTTTCTTGCACTGTGTGGCCACCTCCGTGTCTAATATAAAATCAAATGTATCATAAGGAGAGATGAAGAGCAATTATCTCCGAGTCCCTAATAACTTGGTGATTGGGATTTTCACTTTGCACACAAAATACTTGAGTTCAGCTGTTTACCTGAAAGCAGGCAGTACCGCGGAGTCAGTGCTAAGTATCCCATTTCTCCATGAAGGTGTCCAGCCAGTTTGTTCAACAGACCTTTCGCTTCCCAGATCTTTAGGAAGAAGGTCTGATGTGACTCAGGAGACTCACACGAGATTATGAGCCTGGATTTAAGCATAGGAATACTACTGAGAAGCAGGCTCATCCCCTCCCCTGCGCCTGGCCTTTACAATGGGTAAGTTAGGCAGCCTCCCTGCTTTGCCTCTGATTTCTGAAGGTTGTGTTCTCAGGCACAATCCTGAGCTGCGGGAGGCTGCTGCTGCTGTGCCTAACTCACCGAATTCAGCCTGCCCTCACTTCGGAAAACAGGCTTTTAGCTCCTAATCCACTTGAGCGCCGGGGAAAACGGTAGATAAAGCATTCAGCAGGGCACCGGTCGGTGTTTCGAGTTAAAGCGCGAACTCGGAAAGAAACCCTGAAAACACCCGGAATTCAGAGCAGACAACAACTCCACAGTTTCACCAGAGATTTGCGCCGCAGGTTTTCCCGGTAGCCGCCTTCTCCGGAGCTAGAACTGGAGGAGAAGCCGTTCCTCACTCTGTAAGCGTTGAGGTGGCGGCTGCCCGGCCCTGAGCCCCGGCCCGGAGCGGGGCTGGGGCGCCCGGGAGGCTGCGGGGGACGGATCGGTCTCCTCGCCGGTGGGAGCGAGATCAGAAAAATGGCTTCCCTTTTACTTTCTGTGTGTTTCTGCGGGGGTTTGCTCCCTGCCCGTGCTCTGGCTACCCCGTGCGCTTTATTTCCTACCCTCCGTGGAAAGTGTCGCATCGAGGCGGTGTCGCTTTCCCACGGGAGAGTATTGCCGCGCAGCCCTGCCTGCGCGGCCGGGGGGGTACGTGGATGTGCTCGGGGCCCCTCGGCTTTCTCTCGTCTGCCTGCCGAGGCTCTCTAGGAGTGTGTGTGGAGATATGGGGGGGGGGGGGGGGGGGGGGGGGAGGGGGGGGGGTACCGGAGTGACTGGGGAGGGGAGTTATTAGGAAACTTTGCTTTGGCTACTCTCTATCCTTGGGGCTGCGTGGCGCCAGCACCCTCAAGTTGAAAGGAAAACAGCCATTCTCACTTCCAACTGCCCACTGAGATCCTTAAGGCGACAAAGACACAAAAGTGAGTTTTATTTGCTGGTAAGCCAGAGGCAAGAAAAAAGAAAAGCCAATTCCCCCTTAAAAAGAGCCGACAAATCCTTTTTGCTCTTTTGTGTGAGCTTTTCCTATTCACATGGAGCGTTCATCCGTGTGATTCCCAACTTATTGTCATTACTTAGTTATTAATTGTTCTCATCTGGGTTTAATTGAGCAACCAAGGACTTTAGCCCAAGGGTCAGGGGGAAAACTTAAAGCAAAGACATGTTCAATAGGAATCCTGCGCTTGGAATATCCATCCCGAGTTGACATAATGTAAAAAAAAAAAAAAAAAATACAGACAAAGCGAAGAGATGAAAGGGCCGCGGCTCGCCCGGAGCCCCGCGCTGCTGCGCCCAAAGGTGCCGGCGGAGGGGAGCGGGGCTTGCGGGGAGCCAGATCAAGACGGTTCTCGCTGTTTAAAATCTCTATCGGTTTTATAAGGGCTTCTTTACAGGATAAACCTGGCCTCCTGCGCGATTAGATCTTTCCCCCAGACCCGCGGTCTAATCGCGCAGAGGCTAAGTTTATCTCCAGCCTTTTTCTGCCGGAGACACAACGTGGGAAAAAGCCGGCACCGCGCTCTCCCAGTCCGGCGCGGCGTTGGGCGCTGGGGTCAGGATCACAGACACTGTCATTTGCACGGAGAAATGATCGGAAAAGAAAGCCAGACCAAAACGAGGAAAAAAAAAAAAAAAAAAACCCAAAACCACAACAACAAAAACAAACCGAAACAAAACAAAACCAAACACACACACACACACACACAAAAAAAAAAAAAAAAAAAAAAGAAACCACAAAACCCCAAACTGGGCGGCCAGAGCAGAGCGAGAGATGAGAAGAGGGGGATTAGAGCAGCGAGCTCTGGAGAAAGTGTCTGGGTTCAGGTATGTTGTTTCGCTGAGTTATTGAAAGCATCATTGATATTTAGGAGATGATAAAAGTCCCGCCTCGCCCCCAGCTACAGTCTCGCTGGAGCCACAGTGCCTGCAGAAGATTGCCTAGCCTCATTACAGCAATTATTTTCCTTCTAACTTTGCTTCAACCTTAACTTTTTAAATTGCTGGAAATGAAAGCAGCGGGGGAAAAAAAAAAAAAAAAAAAAAAGACAGAAAGAAAAATATAGAGTCCCAATTTCTCAGCGCCCATTTCTTGAGCGCAAAGATAAAGCACGAACTAAAAAAAAAAAAAAAAAAAAAATAAGAGAAGCTAACCCTCTCCCTTAGCCGAGCAATCCGCAACACGACGTGGGGTGGAGCGGCGCTCCGGGGGGGGTCGGGGCGCAGCCGGCGGGGGGACGCGGCGGGGCCGGGGCTGCGCGGAGCTGGGCGGCCCGCCGCCTTCCTCCGCGGGGTCCTGGGCCCTCGCCGGCGGTTTCCACGGGGCCGTGGCGACCGGGCCGGGTTTCCAGCGGAGTCGTCCACCGACGGCTGCGGGGCGCCCGGAGCCGCGGGGATGGGCAGGACACGGCGCCGAGCGGTCCCGACCGTCAGTCCCGCGGGTCCCGCCGGCTGCCTGCCGCGGCCCCACACCCCCCCCCCCCGCCCAGTGTCCCCCCCCAACCCTTCGTACCCTAACACCCCCATCCCCTGACCCGACCCCTCGGCGACGGCGCTGCCTCTACCCCGCTATTTGCGCTTTTTCCCCTTCCCCCGCACCGCCCCACCCGCCGCAGCCCCCTCTCCTTCTCACCACCCCAAACCCCGCCGCTGCTCCCTTCCCCTCAGCAAGGCCGGCTGCCGAAGGGAGCTGCGGGGGAATCCCTTGGTCTCTCCCTACTCTCGGCACTGAGGCGGGGGGCAAGTCACGCCATCCCCGAAGCCGTCGGGGGCTGCGGCCAGGAGCTTCCCGGCAAAAGACTGCTGGCAGGGAGAAGAGCAGCTTTTGTCCTGACTAGGGCTGGGAAAATCCGGCCGGGGCTGTGGCGGTCCCGGGGCCGCTGGGGAAAGCGGCAGCGGGCACCCACACCCTCGGGGCAGGGAATGCACTGGGAGCTGCCGGCGAGGGGTGGAGGGGAAAGGGAAGAAACCTCAGACAGCTGTGAGAATAGGGAAGCTCCAGGACCCACAGCAAGCTGAAAACTCAGCTGAGACCTCACTGTCTGAGGCTGAAGTCTCCTGAGGAAGAAGAAAAACAGCTGGTACAGCCGGTCCCTCTCTCCTGTCCCCCTGACACAGAGACAAATTTAGTCTCTTCTTCTGTTACCCCTGGAAGGGCAAGGAACAAACAAACCGCATCAAACAGTAGTTTAAAATTAATTTATTTAACAAATATAGCTATAATATAAATGATAATAAAATTTCAAATATACAGTATATTACATAGTACACAGAGCCCCTTCCAAAGGAGCTGGTGGAGGAACAAACACAGGTAACAGACGGTGCTGTTACTCAGGGACAGGAGAGGCTGCTCTACACTTCTGCCTCTTGACCTTGCCTTGCAGAAAGTAAGAGAAACATCCTGCCTTTCAGCCCCCTTTTTGCTGTTTCTCTTCCACAGTTCCTTCCTCCGCGGCTGGGGCTCCCCCCAGGCTGCCAGCCGGACCCGGGGAAGCGGGGCAAGGGCTGGCCCATCGCTGCCCTGCGCCGGGGAGGAGCTGGGGCGATGCCTCAGGTTTCTGTCAGCTGGAGAGCTGAGCAGCTCCCAGGACTGCTGAGGAGAGTGGAGCAGCGCTGGACCGGGGGGGACCAGCATCGCAGGGGGAAGCAGAGAGGCCAAGCAGAGCCGGACTGAAGCAGCCTCTGCCATGGGGCCTGTGGGGAAGTCCGCATCAAGGAGCCAGAAGAGCAGGGAGAGAGTGCGTGCGGAGCCGGCGGGAGCAGACAGCCGGCAGGCTGGGCTTGGCGGGGCTCAGGTCTATGTGAGGTGGTACATGCTGTATCCCACATGCGCTGTGTACAGTCCCACAGGAGCCACGGGCAGCCCTGCCCGCTGGAAAGGGCTGGAGGCGCCGTACAGAGAGGCGCCGGCCACAGCCGGGCTGCCCAGCGGGAAGGAGATGCCGAAAGCAGCGGGCGGGAGCATGGGCTTGGCTGCCATCTTCAGCTTCTCCAGCTCGGCCTCCTGGAGCCGCTTGGCCTTGGCTCGGCGGTTCTGGAACCAGATCTTCACCTGGGTCTCGGTGAGGCTGAGCGAGCTGGAGAACTCGGCACGCTCGGCGATGGACAGGTACTGCTTCTGCCGAAACTTCCTCTCGAGGGCCAGCAGCTGGGCCGTGGTGAAGGGCGTCCGGGGCTTCCTGTTCGTCTTGTGCTTGCGCAGGGTGCAGGCTGGGGGGCTCATCCGCCCTGCGCCGAGGAGCAGCCAGAGGAGAAGGGGAAGGAGAGAGACACCTCGGTTAGCAGTGCCCAAACTCACGCGCCCTGCAGAGCACCCACCCTCCAGCAGCTCGCATGGGGAGAACGGGGAAAAGAAGGTCCCGCTTAAAGTGAAGTGGCCCAAAAACTCCAGAGCTGCCCTGTGCATGCTTCAAATTGACATCTCCTGTTCCAGTAAAGAAGGAGGGTGATTCACTAAGGAATTAGGTTTTTCAAGACTTGCAGGACTGAAGTTACTCACAGTGTAGCGAGCACCTAGAGAAGAACCTCTCTGACTCCATGGAAAAACCTGGCAAAGGGCAGGAGTCGGACCTTCACGTCCTGACTTCACAGCTCTCGGCTCACATAGAAGACATAAATGGAGTGACCTTCCCACCACCCTACCCCCCACCCGCCAAAAAAAAAAAAAAAAAAAAAAAAAAAAATCTATGTTCTGTCTTTTTTTATTGGATTAAGGAAAAAAAAAAAAATAAACAAAACAGGCTGGCTTCTTAGACTCACCACCTCTTCATTAGGCCCCTGGGAACCGGATTAAGCATGTAATTAATTACGGGCTCTGAATTCACACTCAGCCTCTATCTACCGCTCCTCACCGGTCTGCTCCTCTTATTTAACATTTCTAAGGGTCCTCAACCTCGATCTGCCCCGGGTTTACTTAGCAACAACAACTTTTACTTTGCAATGTAAATAAATTAAACCACTGTGATACTCTACAGTAAAGTCCTGTCGGGAAACCTGCCCTTCTCCAAGGGACAGAGAAAACAGCTCTTCTCGCAGCTCTGCTAAGAGCAACCCCAAACGCTTCGGAGCGCTTCAGCCCAAGCTCGTCGCTTCCCACGGGAGCCCGGGCGCGGAGGGAGTGGGATCCGGCCGAGGACAGGCGGCCGCTGGAGGGGATTAACGGGCTTTTCTGATCTCGGGCGTCCCGAGGCTGTTTTTATTATTTTAGATCTCTCCGTCGTAAAGCAGGAAAACATCAGTAACCGCGGCTCTTCGGAATTTGGAGATGCAACACCCGAGATAGCAGCCGCCGGGGCTGAAACCCGCAAAGCCCGAAGGCGCCTCGCCGGGGAGCCCGGTCCGTGCGGGTCCCGAGTAAATTATTTGAGGCACTTTCGGAGAAAACACCGCTGAGGCCGAGTCGGGCTTTGCGTGGCCAGTTCGACCCCGCGGTTAAGCTAACAGGCAGGCCGGGCTGAGTTTTCCTTCTTTCCCCCCACCCCACCGCTCCTCCCCGGTTAACGTTTGGCTCAACCCGGGCGCGGCCGCTCTTCCTTCGCCCTCGCTTCGCACACCCTCGAGCCGGTTCAACGTTTCGAACGGGCCGAAGCGGCCCGGCAGAGAGCGCGAACGGCGGGGAGAGACGCGCCGGGGGCGGCCAGGCTGGGGGAAAGCGAGGGTTGAAATCCCTGACCGGCGCCGAAGGGCGCAGACGGGGCGGGGGGGGCCTCCCAGCCCGCCCGCTCCCCGGCCCTACTTACTCGGGGGAGGCGGCGAGAACCGCGGGCTTTGCATCCAGGGGCTCCGCTCCTGCTTTTCGGGGCTCTCCGCCTTGACGAGGGCGTCTTCAGGCAGCTTGACCAACCCCCCGACGGCGAAGTGGCCGCCGAGGGGCAGTGGGGAGGCCGGCGCCTCCGCCGTCAGCGCGCCCAGGCGGGGGCTGAGGCTGGGGCGGGCAGCCGCTCCGGCGCCCGGCGGGGGCCCGGCGCCCTCGGGGCCCTCCCTGCCGCCCGGCTTCCTGTGGTCGGCCATGAGCGCCTCCACGCTGAACGGCAGGAGGGACGGGGAGACCTTGGGTTTGTCGCTCTCTTCCTCCCCGCCCATCGCCGCCGCGACGGGGAGGCTGCCGCCACCCGGCTTGCTGAAGGCGGATGCGGGCGGCTCGTCGCTGCGGACCCCGGTGGGCGCGGTGGTCATATCCACAGCCGGGGCCATGCGGGGGCGGCCCGCCGTCGCCACCGCAGCGCCGGGCGGGAGCGGGCGCCGCCGCTCATGGGGCCGGGGCGGGGCGGGGCCAGGGGGGGCGCGTGCAGCCGTCGGCGCGCTCCGGCCCCGCGGCGGGCGGCACCGCCTGATAAAGCGGCGCGGGGGGAAGGCGCCGCCCAACCAGCGCGCGGCGGGGCGGGGCGGCGGCGTCCCATTGGCTGAGGGGAGAGGGGAGGGGCGGGGCGGCCAAGCCGGGATCGTCGTCGGGGCGACCGGACACGCCCCCCCTCCCATTCGGCCACGCCCCCCCGGCCCCGCTCCGCGCCCTTCAGCCCCGCTCCGCGCCCCAGCGCGCAGCGCGGGAGGGAGCGAGGCTGGGGCCGCGCTCCGCTGCGGTGAGTGGGCTGGGAGGCTTAAAAATCGGAGGAAAAAACGTATTCACGTCGGGGGTAAAAAAAAAAAACAAAACACAACAGCCTTTGCGCTTGCGAAGCGCAAGGGAGAGGGCCCGTGTCGTGTTCTCCTGGAAAACCAACAAATATTGGGCTCTCCTGAGCGCGACCTTGCAGAGGGAGTCTCTGCCTATCCCACAGGCTGGCTGCGCCTTGAAAAAGTGTTTTCAGCGGGGTTGGTTTGGTTTGTTTTTTAAATGAACGCCCGCCCCGCGGTGCGTTCGACGTGTCCGCGGAGGTTTGCGCCTGTATACACGCACACACGCACATACACGCAGCTACGTTTCACGGCACAGATGTGTGCGTGTCTCTAGGTCATGAAATGTTCATTCACGTAAAACGGAACATCTAAGCCCCAGACCTGTTAAAGTCCCGGCTATTTTGTTTTGTAAATTAGTTTTACGATCCCTTATCCCCGCGCCCAGGACGGATGTGCAGTAAAACGGAGCCGTTCTCTAATAACGTGATTGGCCGCTCGCTGAGAAAAGTTTATTGATAGCTGCAGGGCTCTAATCTCCTCGAAACACAAGAGGCTCTTGCAGTCGTTTAAGGGCAATTATCTAAACGGGGAGAGACAGCGAATTCCCTTTCCTTTTAACTGGACCCAATAAAGATGGTAGATTAGAAGCACGTAGATTATGAAATGAATTGATGTAACAGACATTTTATTAACTGATAAGCAACAGGATCTGATTGAAATGACTTGTCCTGCACGCAGTTCCACGCATCTTACACACGCGTGAGTACATGCTCACTGTAGATCCCGTCCCGCATGTACACATACACCCCTATCTCTTACATCTTGCGCTGTGCTCATATAGAATCCCTATAGGTGAAGATGATTTCTGAGTGACTCGCAGGCTACCCCCTCCCCGCCTCCCTCCGCGCTCCTATAAATTCGGCTGAAGGCTCATTGCACGGACCTATTGGCCGACTTTACAGCTCGCACAGACCCGTCCCCCTCCCGAGCGCTCCGGCCCGGCGGGGAGCGGCGGTGCCGCCGCCCAGCCCAGCCCAGCCCTGCCCGGCTCCGCCGCCCGCAGCTCCCCCGGAGCCGCCCGCAGTTCCCCCCGCACCGCCCGCAGCCTCCCCCGAGCCCCGTCGAGCCGGGGGGGGGGCCGGGCTGGGCCGCGCCGGGGCGGGGGTGTGGGTAGGGGGGTGCTCGGAGAAGCGGCTGCATTGCTAATTGCGAGAATAAACAATCTGTCACGATTAGTCAGTGCCTCTAATAGGCAGACAAGTGATGTTGTTTTTAGGCGCCAGCAGCGGTCTGATCAAAGGCTTCAGCTGGAGGGGGACTATTGAGGACGTTAACCCGCATCAAGGGAGCAAGGCGCCTTAGCCCTGGGACATCGGCACATTCAGCCTGACAAAATTAGTTTGCTCTACCAATCACACGACATTTTCCCAAAGCCTGGTGCTTGACGCGAAGATGCACCCCCACCCCACTCCCGACTAAGAAAACACGCGCAAATATCGATGCATCGTGTTTCACGGTGTCCCCTCCACCCGATCCTACAGGTAGGATCTTTTTTTTTTTTTTTTTTTTTTTTTTTTTCTCCCTGATCCCAAACGCAATCGCGCAAAAGAAAAACTGATGTGTTTATTAGACCTCCGGGCAGCCCCTAGGCTGTTTTCGGTCTCATTGTTTTGACGGAAATATGAAAGGAAAAATAGAGCTGCTGGGGTTTCTTTTCCCCACTTTTATTTTGCGGAATGGTTTGAACATTGGGCTGTTGCTGAGGTTTGAGGAGATGAGTGTGCATCCCATACTGAGAGCCAGATCCCGCTCTCATTGAGAGTTGACAGAATGAGATAATTAGCTCTTTATTTATCTCCCAGCAATGAACGCTTTGTGTTTACGTTTCTGTCATACTCGGTGGTATTTTAATCACTGTACTATATCAAGGACTTGATTTTAATTCACACGCCGGCAGGCTCTTGGGGTGAAAACGGGAAGCCCGTAAAGTTTATTTCGTTCTTGCGCCTTCCTTTCTTTCCTTCCTTTCTTCCATAATGCAATCTAGAGGTTTTAATTTAGGAATTGAGAAACCAAATTTACAAAACGAAATCTGCTCCGAGATGTATTTCTTTGTTTAGCGGGAAATTTTAGTATCCAAACTGTTCTCACTTTGCTCGCTGCGCTCTGGGTGACCAAAACACCGCCGGATTTTAGGAACTTTTTTGGGGTATTGGTTTCGTTGTGCTGACACTCTGACTTACTTTTAGGTGCCTCTCTCTTATTTTCTTCCCTGGGTTGTAAGGAAAACCGAAGTGAGAGGGCGGGGGGGTGGGGGGGGGGGAATAGGTGACTTTATTGGTGCTTGTTCCAGTCCAGTGTTTTTATTGGGAACCGCGGCGCTTCCCTGAAGGCACTTGTGATAGATAACAATATTGGGCAATTAGCATCCTAAACAGTCCCGTTTCAATATAATGAATGTGCTCGGCAAAGCCATTACCCATAGCATTTTATTTCGGTGGGAATACAACAACAAGGGCTGGGAGGAGTGCGTGGGGGATGGGGAGGGAGGACAGGAGGCAGCGCTAAGCCAATTCAGGGCATTGTCTGCCTTTTGTAAACGTTATCTTTGACTTAAAGGCAGAAGTCAGAAAGGAGAGGGGTGGTGTTGTTTCCCTTGTTTCTATTTTATTTCCCCCGAGACAGTAGCTCTTAGGAGACCAGACAGCCCCGCGGGACATGAGGGGGCTTTGGGGGCCGGCGGCTCCGGGACAGCTCTGCCGCGCCGGGCACCGCCTGCGCGCTCCCTGCGCGCTCCCTGCGCGCACCTCAGCCAGCCTTGCTGCAGCCTTGAGCGGCTCAGCCCTGGGGGCAAAGAGCCAGATCTATCGCAAGTGCTAAAAATGTCCCTCGGGCTTTACAAGCCCTCAAAGCCCTTCAAGTCTCAACTCTCGCTGCTCCTTCTCCGCGGAGCGTCGGATAATGCGGAAATACCTCCGTTCCTTTCTTTTTTTTTTTTTTTTTTTTTTTTAATTATTTTTTTCCCCTCTCCCTTTTCCCCTTTCCCTTTCCGCCGAAATTAAGCATAACCGCAACTACTTTTAAGGCTTCAGGCACCTGGGCTGGCACTCGGGAGGTTACCCCGAGTGGAGATTTGGATGGCCAAACTCCAGCCGCTGAGGAGTCCTCGGCACTTTGAGGGTCGGAGGAGCTGGACTGAAAAGAAGGCACTATTTCAAGTGGCCCAAATTAATTTGATCGCGACATTATGATGCACTTGGAAAAGATGAAAGAAAAGGCTGGCCGTCTCCTCCAAGATCTCTATAATTATAGATAATATATCCTATTTCAAAGCAATTAGCTCAATCAGGCGTAACGAGGCACTTTGCTGCCAGGGAGTAACAATGCCTTACGGTTATTTAAGCTTCAAGATGTCAAGCAGACTTCGAGACTCTGCTCTGCCCAAAAGGGAACTTGGCTGTCTTGGTGAAAGCCCTATGGCTAAGGCAGTGGCTTCCCTTCAGTGACAACACGCCTATTTCATTTTGTATGGGCTTTTTTTTTTTTTTAAAGCTCTTGCAAAGGTGCCGGCTCTCCCGGGGAAGAGCCCCTCTCCTCCAGGCGCGTTTGGGGCCGGCATCTGTGTGGCATCACCTCTGTCCCTGCCCGCCAGCACCGACCTGCCTCTGCTCCCTCGGGGATGGATGTGCCCTCCGCGCCTTTCCTCCGCTCGGAGCCTTTCTTTCGTTCGCTTTTTGGGGCGATCCCGACCATTCCTCTCGAGAGCGGCCGTCGGCGGGGAGCGGAGCTCCCGGCCGAGCCAGCCGCCTCCTCCCCACCCCGAGAGCTTTACCCTGCCCTCCCCCTCGGTCTTTACCTGAAACGCTTGCAGATGGCAAAAGGTCCCGAGAGCAGAGAGCATCCGACTGCCGGTTGCATTGCCAGCGAGCCGGCGGTTTTGTCTCTGCCTCCCCGTGTGTGGGGGGGTCTCTGCAATCACATCTAGAGGGGGACCAGAGCCTCAGGTGCTGGAATCCCCTCGGCCTGACCCAAACCCGCAGGAAGGGTGCACAGAGCGGGCTGGCCCCCCGCGTCCAGGGGCGGTGGGGGTGGGTGCGGGTTTAGGCCATAAAAGCCGAAAAGCGAATTTTCTCCCTTTTCCCGGGGCGGCTGCAAAGCGGCTGCCGGGGCGGGTTGTCCCCGGGGCCGGGGGGCACGGGGGGGCCAGGGGGTCCCGGCCACGGGAGGCCGCCCACGGAAAGCCGTGCCCGGGTTAAACGCTGCCATAGGAAAATGAGTAGCTGGGCAATTAACCTGTCAGCTCTTCTGCCGGGGATTTTTATTGTTGGGGGGTAACCGAAGCGGGGGGGGGGGGGATAAAGAAAAAAAAAAAAAAAAAAAAACGAGAAATGCATCGCCCCGTGGGTTAGTCATCTGAACTGGACAGTTCAAGGGGAACAGGAGGCCGGGTGCATGAATGCGAACTAAACAAAGTTTAACCACCCCTCCTTCTTCTTCCCATGTGCAAAATGGAAACCTTATTATATGATTCACTGTGAATCACTAGATTGAATGCGATCATTATGAGTAAATGATAGTCGGGGCTCTGCTGGTCTTTTCTTTCCTAGAGGCAAAACTATAAAATACGAAGGATATAAATGATCTTCTCTCCGCTCTCTCATAAAGGACATTCATTC